ACTAGCTACATGCTAAAAGGAGGAAAACAATAGCTACATGCTTAAAGAGGAAAACACAAGCTACATGCTAAAAAGAACGAAACATTAGCTACACGCTAAAAAGTACAAAACACTAGCTGCATGCTGCTAAGCAGTACAAAAGAAAAATAAAAGAAAAATAAATGAATGAATATAATATACAAGTTTCACTTTTTGAATGGAATTACTGAAATAAATCAACTTTTTCATGATATTTTAATTTTATGACCAGCACCTTTACATGCACCAGTCCAGGTTTCATCAAAATTGAAAGAACTCTTAGCTTTAACTGCTGCCTAATGTGCATCAATGGAATACTAACTAAAGGATTTTTATGCTTGTGCTTTAAAAGTTTTTATTTCTCAAAAATGCATTTTATTTTAAAGAACGATTACAAAATATAAGGGGGTCTGAATATTTTCTGAAACCCCACTTTGTGTGACAATCCAGAAATGAAGATTAGCCTGAGCATTTCACCGTAGAAACAATTTTTTTTCCGGTGTATCATCAGGGCACCAGTAATCCCATCTTCCTCAGCAGCATCGCCTTCTTCCAGGACTCGTGCATCAACCATCAGACGCAGGTGAAGCTGGCCGTCTATGACGTGAAGGACCGCTCGCAGAACACGGTACAACTTTGCCTCAACCTTCACTGTTTATTCAACAGTTTGCTGCTCCTTTTGTCCACAAAGCGTATTAGCTGAGTGAATGACTTTAATGTAAATAAACTACAAACACTTCCACTTACTGTAGCAGCTGAACAGGAGCACCACGGTAAACTCTGATCACTTTCTGTCTGTTCAGATGTACATATTGGGCTCTGCGCTTTTTTCTCTGAAGGAATTACTACAAGAGAAGAGCCACAGATTACAGCTGGAACTGCGGTAAAACACACACTAATAGGAACAAAAATAAGACTTGGTTTCAGTTTGTGCACCAGATTTATAAAGTTTAAAGTGTATGCTTGTAAATTAGAGTATATATTTAAGTTTATGACTTTAATTTGAAGCTCATTCAATTCAAACTGTGCAGACAGATTGCAAACGGCTTTACTGACCGTCCTGAAAGTCAACTCCAACCTTTAGATAGTAAATTGTTACCCTTTTGTGTTTTTATCTATCAGAAGTGCTTTTCCAGCTAGACCACTACTTTGGGTTCGCTTAAGAAAGTTTTCTCAGACAAAATATTTTTAGGAATTTACATATCAGGACACAATGGAAAATATCAGTTTGACACGGAGGTCTCCACCCGTTTAATGATGGACAGTTTCTCTTAACAAAGGTGGCTTCTTTCACTCCAGGAAGGAAGTAGAAAACCTCTTTTTTTCTAAAGACAAAATGACAGCTCGACTTAGGTTTGGATATATAAGCTGAGGGAAACACAAGACTTCTGGAACACAACCAGACCCAAGTAGAAATGTTTACCCCAAGTCCACAGTACCATGTTTGACGATACCAAAGAGTATATGAACACAAACCTCTCGTGCCAGCTGTCAGCATAGTGGTGGGGGGCTGATGATTGGGGCTCCTTGCAGTCATAGAGTCGACCATGAACTTGTCTGATCGAAGGATTCTGGAGTCAGATGTGAGGGCATCGTCCAACTGCTGAAGCTTGGACCAATCTTGGACAAGAAGCAACCAAACACTGATCCCAAACACAGCAGCAATCAGCTAATCAGCTCGTGTGACGTCATGTGCGCCGCAGTATGGCAGCACTGACGGGAGCTCTGCTTCGACTCGCTCTTTTTGGTTCCTCTTGTTTTTGTTTTCAGTTTTTTTGGTGCGTACACTGCACACCCACTCTACGGCTATGACCGCGATGCACTTTTGGAGATTTGTGTGTCGCTGCCTTGCCATCATGGTTCAGTTCTCGGCACTCTTCCAGCCTCTGGCTCAGGCTCCGGACTAACCTGGCGGTTGTCTTCATGATCCTCCATCTGCCTGCACGGACCAAACTCTACGGAACAGTTCGGTTCCAGTAGGAAACCTTGGCTGTTCAGTGTCTGCTAGACCTGGTTCTGGAGGGCAGTTATTGTCTGTTGCCGCAGTCATTATCATCATCATGCTGCTAATGGGACTGCACTGCTAACAGCACCACACTGCTAACAGTGCCATACTGCTAAAAGAACCACACTGTTAACAGCATCATGGTACTAACAGGACAATGCTGCTTACAATACCATGCTGTTAACATAACCATACTGTTAACAGTACCATACTGCTAAAAGTACCTCACTGCTAACAGAACCACACTGCTAACAGGACCATGGTGCTAACAGGACCATGGTGCTAACAGGACCATGTTGCTAACAGGACCATGCTGCTAACAGGACCATGCTGCTAACAGGACC